ATGCACTTTTTTTGTTGACAAATGTCATTATGCAGTACATGACTGTATTATAAAACTTGAGTCCATCCTATGGTGAATCTAAGAACTTTCTGCAGCAGAAAAAAAAATATGTAAAACCAGAATCTAGTTAAAAATGAATTTTGAGTTTTGAAAGGGCAATTTAACAGTTTGGAATAGTACCAATGTTTATATACACATAAAATCATGCTGCTCTCAAACATTTTAAGAAACTCTCAAAACATTTTGAGATACAGTTCTAAAATTTGCAGTTTTCTAAAAATAAATATATCTAAAGATTGGTCTGGAGATAATGAACAAAAATCTATTAGTAAATTTACTAATTAGGGTCATGTCTGTGTGTTTCTGGAAACATTAAACATTTGTTTATTTGAAGTAAAATATCTTTAGCCAACTACCATAAATATTGGCTGCCTGTTAGAAATGATGTACCCATATTTCACATTTTATATTTCCTCACAGTAACCCAGCCCACACAATATTTTTATATAAGGAGAGCTGTCAAGAAAACAGAATACTTTATATATACATTGTATTTTGATCAGTGAGCTAATGGTGGCTCTCTGTTTAAAGTCATTAGCCCCCATGTGGTTTTTAGCCAAAGTGCACTCAGAGTTGACAATGATGTGATTATGTTATCCAGTTAGGGTGTAGCCAAAATGATCACATTGCCTATAGCAATGCTTTTTGAACTGATATTACCAGGTTATAAAATCAATCTAATAGCTTTATTAGGTTTGAATAAAGAAAAGAAACCTAATAGATTAGAATAGTACCAAAGATATTAGCGTACATTGAGCACAATGTGTATAAGTTTATGAAACCTTTGTTTTAATAACGTGTGTATCTTTTGTGTGACTGCAAAGTCATGCTATAAAACGTATTTCTGACTATGGATTACAGTGAAAGCATTTTGAGAAACCCTAGGCTTCCTTCATGTTTTTTTATTGTAACTAAATTTGTTCTAGCTTTGGCCCTTGGCTGTGTAATGACTGAAGTTGGTTTTCTTATTCACACTTACGCTTTCTTACCACTCCTTGGCCAGCCCTTTGGTGGAGTCCATTTCACCCCGCCAATGGTATGTGACGTCCTCACTTCTCCAACCTTACCTCTTACTGTCCTTTCCCTCTTGCTCAGTCCACAGCCTCCTTTGCTGTCCTTGAACATCCCATGCCAGCTGCAGCTGAAGTGCCTTTCCACCAGCTGTTCCATCGGTCTGGAACACACTTCACTCTGGTATTCACATGCCTAACTCCTTTCCTTCCTTCAAGTCTTTGCTCAAATGTTAGCTCCTTTATGAAGCCCACTATTTAAAACAGCGACCCTCCCCTTTTTTCTCAGAGACCTCCTTTTTCTGCTGTGTTTCTTTCCTCCACAGCACCAGCCACCTTCTATCATATTGTAGAATGTACTTATTATGTGTATTGTTTGTCTGTCTCCCTCTACTACATATAAACTCCAGGAGGGTAGGTATTTTAATATGTTTTATTTAAGGATGTAATTCAAGCAACTAGAACAGTGTCTGGCAAAAAGTAGGTATCAATAACTATTGATGAGTTAATTCAGTTTGGCCCAGATCATGAGAGAGAGAGAAAAAGAGAGTGACCAAGCATCAAATACAAATTTACAGGAGATTCTAGTGCATTCTTAAGATATGTCCTGTCTTTTATCAAAAATTTCTAAGTCTCCTTAGAAGCAGCTATTCGTTTTACATTTTCTCCTTATAGGGCCCATTCCCCTGGCTCTACAAGATATTAGAGCAAGGGCTTCTACTAACTCCTAAGAATTCATCCCAGAAGAGTGTATTGAAAGTTAAAAAAAAAAAAAAGAAAGAAAGAAAAAGGAGTCTCTGTTTACAATTAATAATCTTAATATACCTAATCTAGGCAAAATCATCAAAACGTGTACTTCCGCTGAACTTTTTAGCCAGTATGGAAAATGAAACAGTAAAAAAAGGTCAGAAAATAAATCTTGGGGCTAGTAGGTTTACAACACAAAGCTAAGGGAGAAAAGTAACAGGATCAGTGCAATGGGCTCAGAGTTTCCCCCGCCCCAACCGGAGTTACCACATTTAGGGAATAAACTAAATTGTGGAGTTGGCTATGCTGCTGAGGCAGGAGTGTTATGTACTTGGGCCATCTCATTTATTTCGCACCTGAAATTTTCCACCATAGCCTGAAAGACAGGCTGACACGTGCACCTAATTAAGTAAACAATGCCTTCGTGTACTGACTCCAAAAAAAGATAGCTTGATCTGGACATTGTTATGTCAAGCATATGTAAAGTAGCTTCTGTTTTTCAAGAGTTAGATTATTATTAAATAAATAATTTCTGGGAAAAAAATGGTAGAAAATCACTTCTGAGTTGTACATGGTTACTATAGGAATGTCGTCTGGATGTTGGCTCATGGAAGACACATCTGATGTTAGAAATAACAGAGGCAACGTCAAAAACATCAACATCATAAAACAGCAAGCCAACAAACAAAAACATACAGAAGCTCAGCAAGGGATGTCTAAAGATTTGGCCACTCCTTTTAATCGTTGTCCTAACCTATATTATTTATTTAAAATACTGTTCAAATTATGTAAAAACCAAAAAAAGGATTTTTTTCTTTTATCCCCAAACGTATACCTTCTTTGTCCCAGTCTATATTTATGGTCTAAGCAATTTGAACATCAATTCACCTATAAAGCTCCTTTCTAACTCAGTGTTTAACTCTGAAGCCAGAAATGTTGCACCATAGCTTGCTCATACTTCTTAATTTTTTAAATCCTAATCTACATTTTAAGTAGATCGCAATATGTCTGGATAGTGCCCATCCACAAGAAGGTAACGAAGAGTCTGTTCCCTTATAGGCTCGCCACTTTGTCAATTTAGTCACGATTTAATTAATTAGTGCCATTGCTATGGAAATTACTACAGAATGAATATTGTAGTCTTTAAGTACAGAGCAATCCTTTTACATTTTAAACCAATATTAAATCCTTTTAAAATCTCTGGTTTCTTCTCAAATCCAGAACAAAGGATGCTTGCTTTGTTGCAATCTTCGCCTCTAGTATAATCTTAATAAGAAATACGAAGACTCGTTTACTCTGCCTAAAGGTTTTGATAAAGGTATTTTTTTAAATGTGCTGCATGTTAATACTAAAAATAAAGAAATTATAAGCACTTTAAAAGGAGAATCCAATTATTAATTGAATTACATTCTCAAAGAATTAGAGACATTTAGTGAACAAATGAAGAAGGCTAAATTTTCAGAAATGTTGCTCTTGCATGATCAATATAAGTGCAAAAGTCAACATGAAATTGACTATTATTCTGTAGACGTTACAACACTTTCTCTTTCAATACTCAGTCAATATTACCTATTTTTGCTCTTAAGCAAAACATTGTGTGAAAAGCTCACATTACCAGAAAAAATTTGTTAATCTTTGGCAAGTAACAAACCATACTTAGTAGCTGCATTTCCTGTTTTACAGATGTTTTGTTAGAATGAGTTTATAAAATATTATTATTTGAAGAGTATTTTAGTTATAGTGAGAAAGCTGCAGATATGAACAGTTTTGATTTTAGTAATGTGTGCCTCCTTAAGCCTCTTAATTGTAGAGACTGTTGGTAATATTAATTAAGATTTACCAAAAGAGAATCAGGATATCATTGTTTAGGCACTAAAGAGGAAGAACAGGGTAAAATGAAACCAGAAATTAGTGGTATTTCCACTGTCAAAGTAAAAATGTTAAAAATTTTAGAAAATATATCACAGTTGAAATGATTCAACTGAAACTATGATTAGACTTTTTAGTCACCACGCTTTTATTCTTATTATTCATTTTAGCTGTTATCATATTTTCTAAAAAAGTTTATATCCTGCTTTAAAAAATAAAATTTTTAAAGTAGCCAACATTTTGGTTTCACCATTTATTATCATGTCAAAAAATGCATAGCTTGAAAAAAATCTCAAACACATTGCATTGCGGAAAATATTAACAGCATATGTAAAAGCAAATTAGGTGAGAATAACTCGAACATCAAGTTACTACAATTATATGAATTGTATGCTGGTTGCTAGGATACCAGGGAGCAAAATCAATGATTATCTGATTTATTTGATTCTGGTAGTCTAAATCTACAGATACTTGAGCCAGAAAAGTATACTTTGAAGCTTGAATTGCCTGAATTTCTAGCTACCTTGACTTTAATATAAATATATATGTAATATTTATAACTATACACACATAGGCATATGGAAATGTGTAAACATAGCATCAATACCCTTCAGCCAAGGAAGCTGGGAAGTCACCTGTAGTTGAACAAGTTTGGTTCATGACTTGTTCCAGTGAGGGAGAACACACATCACGAAATTATGGGTGTTTTGTTAAGAGGGTGTTAGAAAGAGCCTTATAGGATCGGGTCTTTGATTGGGTGATTTGAGGCAGGGTCTAAGGCAGCAGGGATTCCCTCTGGATTGAATGCTCTTAGAAAGTAGAGCATCCAATCTAGAGGGAATGAGGGGGGATCTCAATGACTCTTATCGAAAGGGGAAAGTCTAGTGAGAATAAAAGTGTCATTGGTAAAGAAGTAACACTCATTTTGGTCAAGAGATGCTTCATGGGTAGCACAGTGACTTCCTTTTGTCTGTGCTTAGACAAAATTATGAATTGCCCTTGCTTGGTCTTATTTAATCACTGTCTCAAAGTAGCCTGGTCAGAGGCTGGCTTTCTGTGATGGTTCACATCTAATGGGAGAATCACAGGGTCTACCTGTGAGAGCCAGGACAGCTTCTTGGTGTCAAGGACTGCTCTTTTTCCTTCCCCAATAGCTCCAGTCATTCTTATCCTATAGTGGGCAAATCTCACAAGTTTGTATGTGCCTTCTGTCACACTGCCAAATACAATTCAATTTTAGGTTGAGTTAGTTATGAGAGAACAGAAAGGGAATATTCTTCCCAGAAAGAATGATTCAGTGCTACTCATACTCACTGCCCCCTTTCTACATAGTTGATACTTCAAGAGCAGAGTCTTCTCCCAATCTGATGCTAAAGGACTATGTTGCTTTCTCTGTTGTCACTTGATGAGCATTTGATGACAGAAAAATTTGGTAAAAGAGAACAACCTTTTCTCCTGAGAGAAATAATCATAAACATGGATTTTAATTTTAAGTTTGCTTTGAAAGAAACATTCTTACAGGTTTTTAACAATATAGATGGGAAAATTTCTTCCATTACCTTTAATACAATGTCTCCTTGCTCTAATTACCACTAAGCATTGCTAAAGGTTATTTGGCACTGAATTTTTCTCCTGTGCCTCACCCAGTTTTTTTTTCCTTTTTACTAAAAACCAAACATGTATTGCTTCCAGCATTTAGAAGACTATCTGATTTTCTACTCACAGGTGTTAAAGTTGCTGCTGCCTTCTTATTCTTTGAAGAACAACCTGCTTGACTCTTGTTAGTGTAACTAGTACAGATTAGTACTGAAAGTAATTCACAGACTATTTTATGATATATTGGATGTAATCAATTTGTTTTCATTTTTAAAATTGGGAATACCAGAAGCCACGACTGCCTAGCTATCTGCATAAATATTTACTTGAAAAATATTTGCTCAGCACACGCTATGTTTCCATATTACTTTGTCCCAGGCATAGGGACACCAGGGAAGGAAGGAAAGTGAAGAGCCCCATCTCTAGAGTCCTAAGGCCTGGGTTGGAATTCCTGCTCAGCCACTTGCTAGTCCTGTCATCATAGGCAGGTACTTGATCTCTCTAGACTCTACATTTTTCCTCTGTAAAATGTGGGTAAGCACAATAATACCCTTAATACTGTTGAAGGGCTGAAAGAGATCATCCGAATTAACTGCTCAGTGCAGTGCTCAGCACAGTTAGTACTCAGTGAAATCACTGTAATTTTTTGCCAATATAGTGGTGAATTTCTAGATGTTATTCTTCCCTCAAGGAACTGACTGGTTCCACTAGCTGGTGAAATTGGAGGGTTCTCGCTTATTCTTGGGAATGGTATGAGGAGGCAGGAAGAGAAGGCACTTAGTGAGACCTGATGGATGAGTGACAGTTGTCCTGGCAGTGGTAAAGGGTGAGGGAGAAGGAAAGGAATGAGGCTTGTGGAGAACAGGATGGTCTCAGCTTTGGGGATACAATACCAAATGTTGGATGTGACAGAGGAGAGAACCACAGGCAGTTCCCTGTTGCCATACTGTGGAGTGGGTAGAGAGGGAGGTAGGTGGTGGAAACTGCAGCTGGGGAGTCCAGGTAGGACCATATCTCAAGGGATGTATGTTCAAAGCTTAGTACTTTAGACTTTACCTTGAAGACAATGGGGATCTGGAGTCAGTCTGTGAGTAATGGTCTCCTTTTCAAAAAGGTACTTACATAATTTTTTTAAATGATAAAGGAAATTATTTACAGAAAGGGCAGAGTTCATTGTTTTCTCAGAGTACCCTGACCATTGCCCATGTGAGCCTGGCCTTCTCATTTAATTTATCCTGCTCCTCCTTCCTTACCCATTTCTTTCTCCCACTCCATGCCATTTTAAAGACACCCATTTTTTTTTAAGTTCCAGGATACATGTGCAGGATGTGCAGGTTTGTTATAGGTAAATGTGTGCCATGGTGGTTTGCTTCACCTATCAACACATCACCTGGGCATTAAGCTTAGCATGTATTAGCTCTTTTCCCTAATGCTCTCCTCTTCCACCACCCTTCCTGACAGGCTCTGGTGTGTGTTGTTTCCCTCGCTGGGTCCATGTGTTATCATTGTTCAGCTCCCACTTATAAGTGTGGTATTTGGTTTTCTGTGCCTGCATTTGTTTGCTAAGGATGTCTCTGCAAAGGACATGATCTCGTTCCTTTTTGTGGCTGCATAGTATTCCGTGGTGTATACGTGCTACATTTTCTTTATCCAGTCTATCACTGATGGACATGTGGGTTGATTCCATGTCTTTGCTATTATGAACAGTGCTGCAATGAACATACACATGATGTATCTTTATAACAGAATGACTTATATTTCTTTGGGTATGTACCCAGTAATGGGATCCCTAGGTCAAATAGTATTTCTAATTGTAAATCTCTAAGGAATCACTACACTGTCTTCCACATGGTTGAACTAATTTACATTCCCATCAACAATGTAAAAGCGTTCTTGTTTCTCCCCAGCCTCACCAGCATCTGTTGTTTCTTGACTTTTTAACAACTGCCATTCTGACTGGCATGCGATGGTATATCATTGTGGTTTTGATTTGCATTTCTCTAACGAACAGTGATGTTGAGCTTTTCTTCATGTTTGTTGGCTACATGTAAAGACACCCATGTTTTTTAATGTGCTTGACATGGCCTTAAATACGTACGTATCCTTGTAAAGTACATAGTGTTGTTCTTTGTGCCTTTTAAATTAACCTACATGGTATTCTGCTAAAAATAATTTCCTGCATCTAATTTTTTTTCATTAGATACAAAGCATCTATGTGTGTATATGCACATCAATCACTGTGTCACACTGCTGTACACACAATCCATATACAATAAACATTGTAGCATTATTTATAATAACAGTTTGAAATAATCTAAATACTTACTGCATACTAGGGAATGGATAACTAATCCTATACCAGTAATGTTAAATATCATGCCTCCATTAACAATGATAGCTCTTGATATGAAGGGATACATGCTTATGACACTGTTAAGTGAGAAAAGCAGACAAAATAGTCTAAACTGTGACAACCACAAAAATACACATTCATACAGCCAAGGGCTGGAAAGGATCAGAGAAAAATAAAAACGGGTATGAATATCTGAGCAAGGGAATCTTGGGTAACATTTGTCATGTATAGTAGCTCCCCCTATTTCAAGTTTCACTTTCCAGGGTTTCAGTTACCCCCAATTGACCTTGGTCCAAAAATATTACATGGAAAATTCCAGAAACAAACAATTCTTAAGTTTTAAATTGTGCAGTGTTCTGAGTGGTGTGAAGAAATCTTGCACCATCCAGCTTCATCCTGCAAAGGACCTGAATCCTCCCTTGGTCCAGCAGATCCACACTGCAGAAGCTCCCCTCCTCATGAGTCACTTGGTAGCTGGAAGATAGTGATGTTGGCATTGTTAGAATTGTTCTATTTTATTATTAGTTATTCTTGTTAATCTCTTACTAGGCCTAATTTACATATTAAACTTTGCCATAGACATGCAAAGGAAAAAGCAGTATACAGAGGGTTTGGTACTATCTCCGGTTTTAGGCATCCACTGGAGGTTTTGGATCCCATCCTCCAGGGACAATGGTGTGCCCAGAGACTTGTATTATACACCACAGCATCTTCTACAGTTTTGGGGGAGAGAGAAGATCAGAGCAGTACCAATCTGCTGCTCCTCGCCCCAAAATTGGCAAGCAGCGCCTCTCTTCAGCCAGAAAGGCCTCCTTTCCACCAGCTGTGTCCTGCAATCAGCTGCAGCTGTATTTGTCTCACCCACCATGGGAAACAGGTTTGAAGTTAAAAACGTTTTCAGAGGGCTGAGATAAATTTAGTGCTGCTAAATTTAATTATTTTCAAGATTAAACATGAAAAGCAAAGTTCCTGAGTTATGTATATTATTCTTTCAATTGTGCAAAAATAAGACATTAACTTGTTTTTGCATGGAAAAATTCTTTAAGAATAGACAAGAAATGTTAACAGTTTCCCCTGGGGAGGGAGATTGGGGATCTGGGATAAAAGAGAGACATCATGCTTTTCTTTAAGGGAAAAAAAAAAAATAAAATATATATATATATATAAAATTGTTTAGGCTTTTGTGGAATTTTTTTTTTTTTTTTGACAGAGTCTAGCTTTGTAGTCCAGGCTGGAGTGCAGTGGTGGGATCTCAGTTTACTGCAACCTCCATCTCCTGGGTTCAAGTCATTCTTGTGCCTCAGCCTTGCGAGTAGCTGGGATTACAGATGTGCACCACCACACCCAGCTAATTTTTGTATTTTCAGTAGAGACCGCATTTCACCATGATGGCCAGGCTGGTCTCAAACTCTTGACCTCAAGTGATCTGCCTGCCTTGGCCTCCCAAAGTGTTGGGATTAAAGGCTTGAGCCATTGTGCCTGGCCCATGCTTTTCTCAAAAGTATGAAAGGAGTATGTATTTTCTTCTTAAAAACTACGTACCAAACATCACTTTTTCAATTAAAATGTTATTTTTTAAGGTTTAAATCCCCAAATTTCAGAGCTCTAACTTTTTAAATATCACCTTTTAAATGTCTAAATTTTTAACTCATTACAAAGTTCTTTAAAATAACAACTTCATATTCTGAGCCCCAAATTGTGCACCTCTTTTTAGTGATGAGGACGAAGTCCAAATTGAGGACATCCCTTATAACTCAGAATGCGCACATATTCTGCCATTAATAACACAGAATGAAACTGATGACCAAGATACATTCACAAATAATTAGGGGACTATGCATAAGTTGCATTCAGATTCCGATGTGACTGCTAATGTACTTAAGACCGACTAGCTTCGTCCTCCGGACCCACACCCCGCAGACCTGGTCCTAGCTCGGTCGCTCGACCACGGAGGGCCTCTGGGTGCAGCGACAGAGCATAGGGCCGCGGCGACCCCGCCCCGCGCCGCGTCACTCGGCGCCCTGCGGCGCGCGGTGAGCACCTACCACTGGCAGAGCTGCGAGGGAGAGGCCGCCGACCCTTCCCGCTGCCTGCGGCCCCGCGCCGGTACTCAGAGCGCCTCTCCTGGCGCTAAATTTAAAAACGTAACACTAACAGCAGGCTGGTCCCGGAAACGAAAGGAAACTAGGCCCGCGGGCCTCCTCCCGGGCTCTGCCTGCCCCTCTGCGCGCCGTGCCATCTGGAACAGACCCTTCTCCCGCCATTTTCGGCGGGACTGGGAGGCTGAGGCCAGCGGCGCCCCGGAAGAGGCGGGCGGCATGGCCGCCGGCGTGGACTGCGGGGACGGGTTTGGCGCCCGGCAGCACGTGTTCCTGGTTCCAGGTAAACACGCGTGCCCGGGCGGCTGGGGTTGCCAGAGAGCTGGCGGAGCGGCCTATGACCTCGGGCGCGCCGCCCTGCATCCCGGCTGCTCCCACTACCTGGCCCGGCGCAGGATGGGATTCCCTCTGGACAACTGGCCCCGCATCTTGGTCACACGTCATAGCCAGCCGCGGTTTTCAAACCCGGAAGCGCTGAAAAGGATCGAGCGTGTTTCCCTGGCTCTGATACCCGGTGGCTCGGGTGGGCGGGCGGAAGCCGACCCAGCCTGCCGGGAGGCACACGGCTTCCGCGTCACCGGTGCTCTGCTGGCCCCGGAGGTTTCTGCCCTTGGGGGTAACTTGGTGTCCCCCACCTCGCAGCTGGCCCTGCTTCTGAGATCCTACTGGGTTGGAACCAGGGATCTAGTAGGCTCGCAGTGGCCTCGGACAGTGCCCGGTTTTTACAAGAAAGCAAAGGGACAGGCCTGCGGTGGCGAGGCAGGAGGGAAGAGGGATGGGAGTCGATGTTAGGCCAAGGGTGGGTCAAAGCAATTCAGCAGGATAATGACCACAGGAGTGTAGGAGTCGGTCCTTTCAGCCCCCCGTGTGGATGATGACCGGCCATCCAGGGTATGTGAGGCGTGGGACAGTGGACAGCCAGTGCCACACAAAGAAGGACCCATTAAGTGACAGAGTAAAAGGAATGTGGCTTAGGGAGTGCAAGCCAGAAAGGTTTGGTCTTTTTATAAATGTATAACATTGGAAAAAAGGAAAATCTGTTCACTATATTAAATTTTTAGTTTAGCTCAGCAAATGCAGAGTGTTCGTTGCAGTAAATATACTCTGATACAAACATACTTTCCCAGGTATTTAGAGTTTTATTGATGATCATTGAAAATTTTTACGTGACAGACTGTCAAGACTATTTTTTGCCGCTACACAAAGAATACGTAAAGTGTACGAATTTTAAGTATGCAACTCACTGAACTTTTCATACATATACCCTACCCCAGTAACCATCCCCCAGTTCAAGATGTAGACCCTTTCCAATAGCTCCTCATGCCTGTTCCTAGATAGCCCCAGGAACCGCTGTGCTGACCTCTGTCACCAGAGATAAGTTTTGCCTGTTTGGATAAGAGTGTACCCCTTTGTGTCTGGCTTCTTTCACTCTGAAAGATTCATCCATGGTTTGTGAAAATCATTCATGTTGTAGCAGTTGTTTGGTTGGTTTTTTCATTGCTGCTTCTATTTAATTGTATGAATAGCCATACTATTTATCTCCTCTACTGTGGATGGACATTTGGGTTGTTTCCAGTTTACAACTATTACAAGTTACACTTCTCAGAACATTCCTTTAGGCGGCTTTTGGTGAACGTAGGCACTCATTTCTCTAGGATGTATACCGTGGAGTGGAATGGCTGGTTGTAAGTCCCTACGTGTTTAGCTGTAGTTGACACTGTTAAATGGTTTTCCGAAGTAGTTATACTGATTTATATTTCCATAAGCAGTGTCTGAGAGTTCCCATTGCTACACATCCTCAATAAAAATGTTTGGGGTGATAAAACAGCTAATGTGAAATTCGGGCTTTTGACAGAATCTCGCAAAGGGCTGCTTGTATACATGCTTTGATTAGAAAAATCATCCTTTCTTCTCACTTTGTCACATCAAGACAATTAGATTTTCAGGGAAGGAACTCTAATCATTCTTTCAGAATCAAGTGTATTATTATTATTCAGATATACACGATAGCTGATAATTTGAGCTTATTTTGTTGTTCAGTTTAATCAGTATTGAGATCGTCACTTTAAAAGTGTGTTTGTGTCCTTATTGTATTAAACACAAAACCCGCAAAAGAATTAAATATTGATTGTATCCCTGAAAATTGTGGGTTGTGAGAAGAGTTTTAGTCGAGTTTCTGTTCAAAGCTGAGATCTACTGTGACCTTTTAAGGCACTGGAGGAGGCTGAGCAGCTGTTGGGAACTGCTAGAAAGAGCTGTGTGGTCAGGCTGGCAGGAACTTTAACAGTTAAAAACTTGAGCTACCAGCTCCTGCAATTTTTCCTTCTGGACTTTAGTGCCACCTGCAGGCTCTGAGGGTACAACACGGTTTTATAGCGACTGCAGGGCAACAGTAGTTCTCAAACTTGAGGGCATCAGTCACCTGGGGAGCTGGGCCTCAGTCCAGTAGGTCCTGGGCTGGGGCCAAAGAATGTGCATTCCCTGGAGATGCTGATGCTGCTGGTCCGAAAACCTCTGCCCCCACGCCAGGAACCACTGCAGTAAAGACCAGCCTTTGGGAACTGGATTGGGATATAGGAATGGGCAGCCTCATGTGTGGCTCACTTTGTGCTGGGCCAGAATTTATATGGTCAAGGAAGTGCATGTAAGTGCAGAGTATGAGGCTCATCTTCCCAGCTGTAGTTGGCTTTTACAGAAGATGAGAAATCAGCCTGCTTAGTTACACATTCAGGAGTAGGAAACCATATGCCCTCGGCTGAGGGACCACCATACTCCAGTAAAGTTGGGTCCTTACTAAAGTAAACAAAGATTACTAAACATTTTTCAGAAGTATTTGGTGGAGGTGGTCTCTATTCAGATTTAGAAAACTTTTGGGCTCTGAAGAACTTACTCTGTATACTGAAAAGTGAGCACATGAACCCACAGGCAAACAGAACTTTGAAGGGGTTTATCCATGAGACAGGGTAAAGCTGCCTAACCTTGCAGTGATACTTTTTTCCAACATTTAACTCATGCTGTTCACCGAGCTGCCTGCCACAGCACTGTGTTAAATCTTGAAGGATATATTTAAACGTTTGATTTAGGTATCTTTGCCTCTAGTTTTCAGTTTGTTTAGAGAAGCTGACTATCTCAGATAAACAAATCTGGAACTTGGAAGAGATACTTGTGAGATATTCAGACTTGGGATGTTGGTTTTCATAGATGGGTGAAGACAGAACCATTTCCCGTTTCAGCAAGGCAAGCATATCTTTTAGTTTGGAATGGTTTTCAATATTTCCGTAAAATGGCCTGGGAATACTAACCTCTTTGCAGTTTTAATTTCTGTAAGAGGCCATTAACATCTTTACTTTTTGGAAAATAGTAAAAGTTCCCGTCCCTCTTTTTCTATCCTAAAAGTAAATGTTTGAGTCATATTTTTAATATTTTTCTGAAGTCCATTTTTCTTGTTAATATTACTAAGTTGGGATGCACCCAGGTGTGAGAAGTCACCTGATTCACTGCCTATAGGATAGAAGACTGCATTTATTGCTGTTGGGGGCTGAACAATTAATTGAATTCATCTCCAAGGAAATGTTAATTGGGAAACCCTAACATTGTGTATGAAAAAAAAAAAAAAAAAGAAGAGAAATCATTTCAGGTCCATTAAAACAAAAGAGCAAAACTCACTTGGATTCACTTAGGCTGATTAAGATGTTCCTTAATCAGTTCCCTGATTAAAAAGTCCTGAGGGGAAACGGGACCTCGACGTGAATTTTCAGTTAGAGACAAGTTTTGCAATAAAGTTATCCCCCTTTATTTCATGAGTATACATGTTAAAAAGTATTTTAGGAAAGATTGCACTTACTTATTTCCCCACAGAAAGTAGTTTCTTGGAGTTAAAGGATGGCCTGTTTTTGGGAGATGAGAATCCCTGCCTACCTTAGACATTTCAAATACAATAATAGCTTTTTATATGAGGCATCATTCTAATCACAAATGATTATGCCAGAGCTGTCTCTCCAAGTGGAATGCAAAAATAGATGTGGAAGGATTGTGTAAATTCATGCATTAGAACTATGTTCTAATTAAACGTTTTTTAAAAAAAATTTAAAAGGGAAAACTAATTTTCTTATTTAATGATGGAGAAAATTTATATTAATGTTTTTTCTGATTATAGTCTTGAAGCTTTTTTTTTTTTTTTTGATCCACCAACTGGCATAATTATAGCTTTTTATAAGCCCAAAAGAAATGCCTCTTGTTTTGTGGAAGAAAAAAAAAGTAAAAGTTTAAAGTGTATGGCAAAGGAAGAACTAATATAGATTTAATTGACTTTTCAGTGACCCTAAAAACCACTCTTTTCCCTTCTTTACCTAATGGCACATGGTTAATCTCCGAGCAAAACTTCAGCAGGATTTTTGTTCTCTGTCAGAACAGTATGTATGTATATGTTTTGTTTAGAAATACACCTGAGGGCCGAAAGCTTCCTTATTTCCAGAAGAGGTGAACTTCACTTGGCAAATGATAGAGAACCTGGCGAATTCAAATGCTGATTTTAGACAACGTCGGAATAATTAAGCTCAGCTTTTTGGAAGTTGTGTCATTTGCCAAATAGTCTCCTGCAGGCAGTTAGCAACGTAGGAGTCTCCAAGTTTTCCAGCATGGAGCATGTTTAACATTTTCCACGCGAATCCTCAGTCTGGCTTTGTTTTTGCGAAATGTTTTTTGGTGGCACCTGACTGACCTTTCTCAGATGGCCACTGGATCCACTTCCCTTGCTGTCTATCTGAGCACGTTCTGAAGTGGATGGACTGTATCAGTCACTAGTTGGTATAATCAGGCTGTTTCTCGAGCCTGATCTTGTCCCCTTAGTTTTGTTCCAAAATACTTGGATATTTATGAGTAAGAACTCATGACTCCCACATATTTATCCTTCAGATCACAAAAAAAAATATTCATTAAAGGAAAGCAAGCAGTGTTCATGATTTTTTATTTGAGTAACAGAATAGGGACTGCATGGATTCTCCCACATCCTCTGAGCTTTAACTGTGATGCTGAGGAGCAAACGACTCAGTCAGTGTGCTCTGAAGCCTGGCTGTAATAACACACTTAAAAACCAGATTTATGCCATTTATTAGCTCTATGTCCTTGGACAGTTTGCCTCCTCACTATAAAGCCTCGCTTTCATCATCTCTACGGTGGGGAGAATACCAGTCTCGTGGGGTTGTTATCTGTGGTTCGAGTTACTCATAAGCTTTCCTACACCTCAAGGTTTTAGCCCTGGCCCTGGGACAGAGTAGATATTTC